CCTCTCCTCCTCCTCTCCCCCTCCTCCTCCTCCACCTCCTCATCCCCTCCTCCTCACCCCTCCTCACCCCCTCCTCCTACACCCTCCTCCTCACCCCTCCTCACTCCTCCTCCTCCCCTCTCCTCCTCCTCTCCCTCCTCCTCCTCACCCCCCTCCTCCTCACCCCCCTGCCTCCTCCCCCCTCCTCCTCACCCTCCTCCTCACCCCTCCTCCTCCCCTCTCTTCCTCACCCCTCCTCCTCTCTCTCCTCCTCCTCCTCCTCCCCCTCCTCCCCCTCCCCTCCCCCCCCTCCTCCCCCCCTCCTCCTCCTCCCCCCTCCTCCTCCCCCCCTCCTCCTCCCCCTCCTCCTCCCCCTCCTCCTCCCCCCTCCTCCTCCTCCTCCCCCTTCTCCTCCCCCCAGCGGCAGTCCTGAACAGCGCCCAGCAGCACCGCAGAGCGCGCTGCAAACCGCGCAGCGCCTTCGGGAAGGAGGAGGGAGAGGAGGAGGAAGAGGGGAGGGGGAAGAGGGGGGGAGAGTGGGAGGGGGGAGGGAGTGGGGGGAGGGGAGGAGGAGGAGGAAGGGGAGGAGGAGGGGGAGTTGGAGGAGGAGGAGGAGGGGGAAGAGGGGGGTGAGGGGGGTAGGGGGAGGAGGAGACGGCGGAGTAGTAGGAGGAGGAGGAGACAGCGAGGTGATGGTGGATTTGTTTATGGCGGCGGCGATGGTGGTGGAGGTGGCGGTGGTGATGGAGGAGCAGTGTGAGGAAGTGAAGGAGGCGTGAAGGAAGAGGCACAGACGTTCGCCTTTCGTTTGCCGGTCACAGCAACAGCAGCAGCAGCAGCCTTCGCCGTCACTGTCATCATCATCATCAGCAGCAGCAGCATCAGCAGCAACAGTTGCAAGCAACAGCAGCAGCGTCTTCACCGTCACTGTCATCATCATCATCATCAGCAGCAGCAGCAGCAGCATCAGCAGCAACAGTTGCAAGCAACAGCAGCAGCGTCTTCACCGTCACTGTCATCATCATCATCAGCAGCAACAGTTGCGGCAGTAAGCAGTAGCAGGAGCAGCGTCTTCACAGTCACGTTCATCATCATCATCATCGCCTGCAGCAGCAGTAGCATCAGCAGTTGCAGCAGCGAGCAGCAACAGCAGCAAGCAAGCGGTAGCTGCAGCAGCGTCTTTACAATCACGTTCATAACCATCATCGCCTGCAGCAGTAACAGCAGCGAGCAAGCGGTAGCTGCAGCAGCGTCTTTACAATCACGTTCATAGCCATCATCGCCTGCAGCAGTAACAGCAGCGAGCAAGCGGTAGCTGCAGCAGCGTCTTTACAATCACGTTCATAACCATCATCACCTGCAGCAGTAACAGCAGCGAGCAAGCGGTAGCTGCAGCAGCGTCTTTACAATCACGTTCATAACCATCCCATCGCCTGCAGCAGTAACAGCAGCGAGCAAGCGGTAGCTGCAGCAGCGTCTCTACAATCACGTTCATAACCATCATCGCCTGCAGCAGTAACAGCAGCGAGCAAGCGGTAGCTGCAGCAGCGTCTTTACAATCACGTTCATAACCATCATCGCCTGCAGCAGTAACAGCAGCGAGCAAGCGGTAGCTGCAGCAGCGTCTTTACAATCACGTTCATAACCATCCCATCGCCTGCAGCAGTAACAGCAGCGAGCAAGCGGTAGCTGCAGCAGCGTCTCTACAATCACGTTCATAACCATCATCGCCTGCAGCAGTAACAGCAGCAAGCAAGCGGTAGCTGCAGCAGCGTCTTTACAATCACGTTCATAACCATCATCGCCTGCAGCAGTAACAGCAGCGAGCAAGCGGTAGCTGCAGCAGCGTCTTTACAATCACGTTCATAACCATCATCGTCTGCAGCAGTAGCAGTAACAGCGGCGGCGGTGGAGCGATGATAATAATTCTTATTAGCAGCACGCGGCAGCATGACTAATTAATGATTAAATCGCAATCGCTTGCAAGTAACGGCTGTAACGTACATATCATCGATACTACTAACAGCAATCGTCACCAGCAGCGCGATGAATAATCGTCAGCGTTGTCGATCGTAACGTTACTCTGTTGTTGTTGTTGATGTATTTACTAATTTTTCCCCCCAGGTTTAACGTTGAAACAGGGTCCGAATTGACTTTTACCCGGGTGAATTAAGGGTTGTTTTTAAAAAATATTTATATTTATAATTGATGAATGAAATAACCGTAAGCACAATTGGTACAACCATTATCATGACTTACAGCAGCAGCAGCAGCAACATTGATCAGAATCATGTTCCATGTTAAAAACCATCATCATCATCAGCAGCAGCATAATAGCTGTTATAGTAACCATCTTCTTCACTGCCATCATCATCAGCAGCAACAGCAGCAGCGCCTTGATTAACATTCATCACGACAAGAGTGTAATCAAAATCGATAACATTCACCATGAGTACAAAATAATCACGGTCGTTCGCAAAACGATTAGTAATTAATAACGTCGTCACAATCGGAATCTACGGCATCATCATCATCATCAGCAGCAGAATCGATAATCAATGATAATCGATAATCAATTATTATCGATAATCAATTATCATCGATAATCAATTATCATCGATACCGTCATAGTATCTGAATCATCATCACCACAAGCGTCATCAATCTGAATAATCAAAATCACCATCGTCCTGATCCGCATACGAATCAACATCATCATCAGCGTTAAAAATTTTAACACTCACAGCTATTACCAACCATCATCATCATCATCATCACCACAGCATACAAATCAACACCATCATTACCATCGTTATCACCTACATCACCATCACCATCCGCACCACCACCACCACCACCATCATAATCAATAACTCACAATTACCAAAAATAACGATAAACTCCATCATCGTCATCATAGCATCCGAATCGCTACCATTATTACCCTCATCATCACCCCCATCATCACCCGCATCATCACCCGCATCATCACCACCATCACCTTCATCATCATCATCATCAACAACATCATCATCAGCAGCAGCAGCAGCAGCGGCGTCGAGGTGCCACTGGTGTGTCGGGATGTTGGGCCCAGCGTGTGGCAGTCCGGCACCCGGGGTGACCTCTGCGGACCGGGCCGCCAGGGCCCGCATCGGGCCGTCCCCGGGCGGCCCCGGCCCCTACGGAGCGGCCCTCGACGCGGGACGCTCGCCCGGCAGAGCCGACGCCGCGAGGCGCGACCCGGACGGGCGGCCGCTAGGCCCGAGGCCCGACCGGCCCGGCGAGGGACGCGGCGGGCCGGACGCCGGCGGCGTGGGCCGATCGAGCGTCCCGGGTGGGCCGCGCTTCGGTCGGCCGGGCCCGGGTGGACGCGGCGTCGACGCCGCGGCCGAAGCTCGAGGCGCGGCCGCTGTCGGGAACGACTTTGGGGAGTCCGGCACCAGCGGAGGAGTCGTCGGTGGACGTGGCGCGAGCGGTCTTCCTCGCTTGGGTGGACCTGAGCTGGGTGGACGTGAGCTGGGTGGACCTGCGCTGGGTGGACGTGAGCTGGGTGGACGTGAGCTGGGTGGACGTGACCTGGGTGGACCTGCGCTAGGTGGACGTGAGCTAGGTGGACGTGAGCTAGGTGGACGTGAGCTGGGTGGACGTGAGCTGGGTGGACCTGCGCTGGGTGGACGTGACCTGGGTGGACCTGCGCTAGGTGGACATGACCTGGGTGGACGTGAGCTAGGTGGACGTGAGCTGGGTGGACGTGACCTGGGTGGACCTGAGCTAGGTGGACGTGAGCTGGGTGGACGTGAGCTGGGTGGACGTGAGCTGGGTGGACGTGACCTGGGTGGACGTGACCTGGGTGGACCTGCGCTGGGTGGACGTGAGCTGGGTGGACGTGACCTGGGTGGACCTGAGCTGGGTGGACGTGACCTGGGTGGACCTGAGCTGGGTGGATGTGACCTGGGTGGACGTGACCTGGGTGGACGTGACCTGGGTGGACCTGAGCTGGGTGGACGTGACCTGGGTGGACCTGAGCTGGGTGGACGTGACCTGGGAGGAGCTGACCTGGGTGGACCTGCGCTAGGTGGACGTGACCTGGGTGGACCTGCGCTAGGTGGACGTGACCTCGGTGGACGTGACCTGGGTGGAGCCAGCGTCGACCGCTCGGAGCCGAGTTTCTCCGTACCGGACGGCCATCGTGTCGTCCTACTCGACCTGGGTGGATCGGCGACCGACGGGAACCACCTCGCCACAACTGCGCCCGTTGCGCAAGACCTGGGCACGTGCCTCTCGGATGGACGCACGTGGAGTGCCGGGCCTCCGACTGCCAGAGCGGCCGTGCCCGGTGGCACAGACGCGAGGGGATGCGTCTCATCTGCTACACCGCCGCCACCGCCATCCCCACCTCCACCACCACCGCCACCACCACAACCACCAGCAGTAGTAGCAGCAGCAGCAGCAGCAACAACGTCGTCGTCATCGTGCGGGCAACTACTGAGGAACTCGATCCATTCGAGTGCAGTGTCGGCAGGGAATAGCGAGGAGCAGGAGGACGACGAGATGGTGATGATGGTGATAGCTGTCTCGGAAGACGACCACCACGACATTAAGAAGCAGCAGCAGCAGCAGCTGCAGCAGCAGCAGCGCCACCACCACCAACATCATCCGCACCACCACCACCACTGCCACCACCACCACCACCAACAACAACAACATCCGCACCACCAGCAAGGAAATCACGACGATGACGACGACGACAACAACGACGACTACGACTACGACGAAGAAGACGACGACGACGATGACGATGACGACCGCTCCAGCGGCGGTGGCGGCTACGGTCACCACCACCACCGCCACCACCACCGCCACCACCGCCACCACCACCGCCGTGGCCGCGGCCGCGTTGGCCGTCACCGCCACGCTCCCGACGACCAGCGCAGCGAGCGGGTCGTCATCAACGTGGGCGGCACGCGGCACGAGACCTACCGCGAGACCCTGCGAACGGTGCCCGGCACGCGCCTCTCGTGGCTCTCGGAGCCCGGCGCGCGCCGCCACTTCGAGTTCGACCGCGGGCTCGGCGAGTTCTTCTTCGACCGCCACCCGCAGGTGTTCGCCCACGTGCTCAACTATTACCGCACGGGCAAACTGCACTGCCCGGCAGACGTGTGCGGCCCCCTGTTCGAGGAGGAGCTCGCCTACTGGGGCATCGACGAGACGGACGTGGAGCCCTGCTGCTGGATGAACTACCGGCAGCACCGCGACGCCGAGGAGGCCCTCGTGAGCTTCGGCAGTGGCGAGCCAGCGGCGGCGGCGGCGGCGGCGGCTTGCGACGCCCGCGGCGAGGGTGGCGACGCTTCGGATGCTCGAGGTAGCGGTGGTGGTGGCGGTGGTCAGGAGGTAGCAGCCACGGCGTTGGGTCGCTGGTGGTTTTGTTGCCGGAGGTGGCAGCCGAGGCTCTGGGCGCTGTTCGAAGACCCGTACTCGTCCAGAACGGCCAGGGTGAGTGGCGGAGATGGGTGGTGGTGGTGGTGGTGGTGGGTGGGCGGGCGGGCGAGTTGATTGATGGTGCCGGTGAGTGACGGCACTTGCCCCGGCCAGCGTGTTGGAGGCCGCATGGGGGACCTTTGCCTTTGTGGGTGAGCGGTGGTCGCGAGGATGGACAGAGCGCCGCGCCAGCGACACGAAGGGGGTGGGTGGCCACCATCACCCCCGACCGCCACTGGGGAGACAAAGGCGGTCAGGGGTGATGGTGGCCACCCACCCCCTCGTGAGCCGTGCCGGCCTTCACAGGTGCTACTCGCTAACAGCACTTGCCCCAACAGTCTGTGAAGGCTATACGGGGGGAATCTTTGTCTTTGTGTGTCATAGCCTTGTGAACACATTGCACTAGACACCCAGGGACCGTAATTCAACTCCCGTCCGTGACTACTGTGGAGCGTTTGCATCTAAACCTGAACTCGATCTCTACTTAAGAAAATGGCATCATTTACAATGGGTAATGAATCAAAACAGGCTCTGGTATGATAATAGGGTTTTTCCCCTTTTTTTCTGGCAACGAAACTGAAATCTTTTCTTACCAGGATTCATGTTACTGCATTAACCACAATACCTGCAGTCAAAATGCAAACAAAAGACATGCTCATTGCTTTGATAGTGGCATTGTCTTTGAGCTGTGTGACGCCTTTTGGTGTCACCTGGTCGAGCACCAATTGGGTCGAGGCTCAAAAGAAAGCCGTCCCTTGGTGTGGACCAATCAGTTTCAAGGACAATGCATCATATATTATCATAGTGTGTGTGTTTTTTGTTTGCATTTTGACTGCAGGTATTGCAGTTAATGCAGTAACATTAATCTTGTTAAAAAGGTTTCAGTTTTGTTGCCAGAAAAAAAGGGGAAAAACCCTATTATTATGTTTTGGTACTGGCAAAAGAGGTCTAATGATGAGGCTCTGGTATGGTTGAATAATGGGAGTCTACGTGTTAAACGGAGTCATTACGATCAGATGCATTATCTAATCCGTTACCAATTGTCCCAAAGTCTGTTATGGTTATACGCGAGCTATGTATGTATTTGTGTGCGTGTGGAGAGCGGTGGCGCATTGGTTAGCAGTGCACTTCGCTTCAAACCCGGCGACCCGACTTCGATTTCCACTCATGGCCAACATGACCACCGGTGAAACGTTACCTGAACTGATTCCTGGGCCATAGACTCACACAATGACCCACAGACTGACACAAATTCCACATAGACTAACAGAGAGACCCATGGACTCTCACAGGATACCCATAGACTCGCACAAAGACCCACAGGTTCCATAGACTAACAGAGAGACCCATAGACTCACAGAGATACCACAGACTAAAATAGAGACATATAGACTGACACAGCTACCCATAGACTAACACCTAGACCCATGGACTCACACATGATACCCATAAATTCACCCAGAAACCATAGACTAACAAGATACCCATAGACTGGTTCAGACACCGCTAGACTAACACATAAACCCGTGGACTCAGGGAGGATCCATGGTCTCACACAGGATACCCATGGACTCATACAGATACCATAGAAAAACAGAGAGTCTCATAGACTGACACAGATTCCCAGAGACTAACACATAAACCCATGGACTCATGCAGGATACCTATGGACTCTCAAAGGATACCCATAGACTCACACAAAGACCCATAGACTGACACGGATTACATAGACGAACAGAGAGACCCATAGACTAACACAGACAACCATTGACTCACACAGAGACGCATAGACTCACACAAAGACGCATAGACTGACACAGATTACATAGACGAACAGAGAGACCCATGGACTAACACAGACAATCATTAACTAACACAGAGACGCATAGACTCACACAGAGACCCGTAGATTCACACAAATACCATAGACTAACACAGAGACCCATAGACCTACACAGAGACCCGTCGATTCACACTGCAATGCATAGACTCACACAGAGATCCGCAGACTCACATGGAGACCGATAGACTAACAATGAGAGCCATAAGCTCAAACAGAGACCCAGAGACTTAAACAAAGACCCGTTGTCTCACACAGAGTCTCATAGACCTACACAGAGACCCGTAGATTCACACACAGACCCTTAGATTCACACAGATGCCCATAGACTAACGATAACCTGAACCCTGATCTCAGCCTTTAATCAAGGTCGACTTATCATTAAAAAATCAGCACCTGGTGCAGTGTGACAAAACATCACAGTGGGGAGACAAAGGTGGCCGGGCGTGGCGCTTCTATATTGACCACACCACTCACTCACGCCCCATCATTGCTTGCATTGTTAAGGGGGGCGGGGGGGGGGGTAGCTGCCAACACGGGGGGTCCCTGTGACGTGGCCCTTGGAAGGGCTGGAGGTGACGTGTGTACAGCACTCGGGAGTTCGTCAATTATTAAGGGGCGACCGATGTTGCGCGGAAATTGGCAGTGAGAATCCAGAACACCACGCAGGTGACAGAGACTCCGCCCCTCACTCCTCCAGACACGCCCCCACCCCATAGACTCACACAGAGACCCGTAGACTCACACATAGACCTGTAGACTCATACAGAGACTCATAGACTCACACATAAACCCGTAGACTCACACAGAGACTCACAGACTCACACAGAGACCCGTAGACTCACACAGAGACCCGTAGACTCACACAGAAACCCGTAGACTCACACAGAGACCCATAGACTCACACGGAGACCTGTAGACTCACACATAGACCTGTAGACTCACACAGAGACACATTGACTCACACAGAGACCCGTAGACTCACACAGAGACCCGTAGACTCGCACAGAGACCCATAGACTCACACAGAAACCCATAGACTCACACAGAGACCCGTAGACTCACACAGAAACCCGTAGACTCACACAGAGAACCATAGACTCACACAGAAACCCATAGACTTGCACAGAGACCCGTAGATTCACACAGAGACCCATAGACTCACACAGAGACCTGTAGACTCACACAGAGACCTGTAGACTCACACAGAAACCCATAGAATCACACAGAGACTCATAGACTCACACAGAAATCCGTAGACTCACACAGAGACCCATAGACTCGCACAGAGACCCGTAGACTCACACAGAGACCCGTAGATTCACATAGAGACCTGTAGACTCACACAGAGACCCGTAGACTCAGATAGAGACCCATAGACTCGCACAGAGACCCATAGACTCACACAGAGACCCGTAGACTCACACAGAGACCCGTAGACTAACACAAAGACCCGTAGACTCAGACAGAGACGCATAGACTCACACAGAGACCCATAGACTCACACAGAGACCCATAGACTCACACAGAGACCCATAGACTCGCACAGAGACCCGCAGACTCACACAGAGACCCATAGACTCACACAGAGACCCACAGACTCACACAGAGACCCATAGACTCGCACAGAGACCCGCAGACTCACACAGAGACCCATAGACTCACACAGAGACCCATAGACTCACACCATAGTTTCATAGTTGTATTTATGTTGGTATAGCCCTGTGAGCCATTCGGCTCTTGAATCGGGTGCAACCGCAACAAACAAAAACATGAACAAGAAAACATCTTAAAGTGACTATGTGTGACTGTGCAAACAGAAAATACAGGAACAAAAACATCAACAATATTCCTGAAATAGCACCGTACACCAACGCTGTGTGCAAAAATCCTAGTGGGATGCAAGTCAAACAACAACAACCACAAGACAACTAAGATGAAGGCCATCAGTCTAACTCCGTACTACAATAAACAAAAACATGGCCAAAACCTAAAAAAAACTTTTCGAAATCACCAAAATAAAAGCCATGAATGCAATGTGACAGTGATCATAGGGACTGTGACCGAATTTTTAACATTAAACTACATAAATAAATTATAACACCAAACCCTAGAGCCATATTTTAGGCCACTGAATAGCAGTGGCAGCTAGGGGTGTACAACTCCTCTAGAGCAGTTTTGAGTGAAGATCTCATAGGTAGCGATTCAAGTTGTAGTTTATTGGCAATAGCATTCCAGACCCTGAGGCCATCAATAGCAAAGGCCCTTCCTCCGGTTTTTGTACGGCAATAGGGAATGTGAAGCTGGTAAATGAGCGAAGACCTGAGGTCAAATTTGTTCTTTGAAATAGAGAGGAGATCCAGTAGGTAGTCTGCGGATTTTTTTGTAAGTACATCGTGAATAAATAAGATCTAGTGCACAAGCCGTCGAAAATTAAGATATGTTAAGTTTGACCCAATGTAGAGATCACAGTGGTGAGTCCTATATGGGCAGTTCAATGCAAATCTTACAGCCGAGTAATAGATGGAATCAAGCTTATTCAGTACAGTACTTGGGGTTGATTTATACACGATGTCACAGTAGTCAAGTAGAGGCAGTATGGTAGCTTTTATAAATTCCAAACGGAACATTGGGGGGAAGCAGTGCTTGTGTCGATACAGAAAACCAATTTTTATTTCTGTCTTTTTACCAATATAATCAATGTGATCTTCAAAACTAAGTTTTGAATCCAGGATGACCCCAAGATACTTATAGATCTTGACTTGCTCTATTTGATAATTATTCAAAGAATGTAATTGGGGAAAAATAACTTCCTGCTTTAGTCCCGGTGAGAAGCATAGCACCTTGGTTTTGGAGGTATTCAGGACCAGTTTAAGAGAAACTAGCTGATGTTGTAGTTTGTTGAAATCACCCTGAAGCTTAGCAATCACGTCATCTGGAGAGCGGCCAGCAGTAATCAGTATCGTGTCATCTGCAAAAAGATTTACCCTGGAATGATCCAGGTCAGTGCCCAAGTCATTGACATGAAGAGAGAACAAGAGGGGGCCGAGGATGAAACCCTGTGGAACCCCTTTAGTTATCTTAACACTGTTTGACCTCCAACCATCTGTGAATACAGTTTGGGTGCGAGAAAAGAGGTAATTTTTTAACCATTGTACTTTGTTTTAGGAAAAAC